ATAAGTTAATTGATAGTTGATAAGTTAACTAATGAACTAAATACGTCCGTAAAATTATTAAAAAGAACATATTTAAAAAATAATAAAATTTAAATATTTTAATAAAATATTTTTAAATTATTGATTAGCTAAAATAGGTAAGATTAACCAACTTTATTATAATTTATATTATACGTAAAAGTTACTAAAAATTATCATTTGATGTAAATATTTTCTACAAATTGCATTTGGTTATTAAAGTTTCAGAAATTTGTAGGATCCTTAAAACTTTTTTAAAAATTTAAGAGTGATGATAAGGATAGAGAGTTTTACCCGGTAAGTGAGGCTGACGACTCTTAATAAACACTTACTTGGTAAGTGCTTACCGGATAAATTTTCTTATCGGATGAACATGAGAAGGGCCAAGAATCTTACCGGGTATGAGCAATGAAAAAGATAGAGAGTCTTACCTGGTAAGTAAGAGTAGCGACTCTTACCCAGGTAAGCACTTACTCAGTAACTTGTTGCATTCGTTATGTTTTCATGTACTAAAATCTTACGTATCAAAATAAATTATAATGTTGAATCTTATTGGTAAGCACTTACCGGGTAAGCATATAGGTAAACGGCCTCTTACTCGGGTAAGCGCAGGCCAAATATATTGTTGCATACGATACCATTTTGATATACTACAATCTTACCCAAAAAAATAAATCATAGTATTGGGTTCTAACGGTAAACACTTATCAGGTAAACATTTAGATAAACAACCCCTTAATGTTTACTTTTTAAAACCAACCCAAATGAATGGTTCGGATTTGTTTCCTTGTTTTCTTAGTGTTTACTTTTTAAACAAAACCCTATATCATTGTGTAAAAGATTTCAGTAGTTTGATAAGAGAAATTATCGGATGATATTGAGTTCTTAGACCCCTCAAGCGTTTCATGTCCTAAAAGTGCATGTCAGATACATCAAAAACCTAATATTACAGAAAAAATTAAATGAAGTACTTTGAATACAAGGTAAGAAAAAGTATTTATAAATTCTCAATCATGCGTGTCTCCAAGCTAGAGTAGCTAGGTGGGGAAGTGAAATTAATATTTGTTGGTACAACCGCTTCGTTAGTACGAAATTTCAAACTTTATTGAAAAGCTTTTCATCGTAGAACAAGCCTATGCTACCATCCAATAGTTTTTCTGTAATTTATCGAAAATAGATAAAGAAACATAAAAGATCTTATTAGGGGTGTACACGGGTTGAGTTGGGCGGTTTACAACAATTTTACAATCTAACCCAATTATGGCTGTTTGGAAAAATCTAAACCCAACCCAACCCTTGCGGGTTGAGGCAGGTTGGGTTGGCGGGTTAGTAGTTACATAATTTGACGAATGAAATAATTCATAAAACTTAAGTTTATGAACCATACTATAAAACGTCATATCTAAAAAGGTTACAATAGGTTTATAAGACGTTTTTTGACGTTTCAACAATTGTTTTAGAATGATCTTTAAATAAAATGTCATATTAGTTATTTTATATAAACATTTTGAGAAGTGTTCTGTAAACTAATCTATTTATAGAACACTTATGTTCATATGACACTTTTTCAAGTCGTGTTGTATAAAATAACTAATAGGACACTTTATTTTAAAAGCATCATAGAATTTGTTAAGACATCCAAAATCATCCTATAAACATATTGTAACTCTTTTAGATAAGATATTTTCCTAATGTAACTCTTTAAAAACGTCATAGATTGATGGATTCGTCCATCAAATATCTATCAATATCATTCATATTCTCCAACATATCAATTTGTTGTTGCTGTAAAAAAACAAATAATTTTCCTTATTAATTAAATTATTTGTCATTATTCTTTGATCGTGAATCTCTTTTGCTAACCTATACGTTTAACTAAAATGAAACAAAATATAATATTAATAAAATTTATACATTAACAAAATATATATATATATATATATATATACATAATAAACATTTATA